TATTTAGATCGCTAATTTAATAATAAACAATCTTTATACTTAACAACTATATATAGGGGCGCGTTATTTTGAGACGCGCCGGGGCGTTATTTCGAAACCATATATGCTATTTTTAGGGGACTCGATTTTCTAAATAACGCCCCGGCCTGTTATTTCGCGACAATACGGTATATTGTTTTATATTAGTTAATCATGATTCTATAGTACTGAATATAAAAAATTTTGCTACTATACCTACTGATTATTGTGATAACATAAATGATTTAAAAAAGGTTTAGTTTTGTATTAGAATGATCGTGATTTCTATAGTGATTTTTGCTGTAAAGATTCTATTACTATACTTGCTAGAATTAGTTTTGCATTAGAATAATCAATGATTTCTATAGAGGTTTGTATTGCACAACCATATACCAACTACCATGTCTAAGGCTGTATTGTCCACTTGAATTTTCACCTTCAACACTCTTTGAATACCATTCAAACGCTTTATAATCATTCTTCTTCACTTTAATTCCATCGTTATCACTTTCATCAGATCTCAAATACCATTTGAACAAGTTTCGAACACCTCCAACAGACTCTTGACTATAAATGGATGCCTTACGCTCATACTTATCGTCTTCATCAGCTGGCACCACAGGTATGTACTCAATTTTCGCTTCTCTAGTTTGGTTCAACCTTTTAGTTTCCATCTTACGAATGTACAATACTTTTCAACATACTTGCATGTTCCGAGTATCAATTACGAAGAAACTTAGCAATTGACAGAATCAAGAAAAAAGGAGGGGACTGGCTTACATCTTTCACAATCCAAGGTCCATTTTCGCGATCGCAGCGTCCAACGAAAGCTGTTTCATAAGCGCTATTTGTTTCAGATTTTTGATAACGAATGAATGTTTCATATTCGACATTACTTATTTGGGGTAAATTACTACGTATGCGTTATCTGATATGAGCCAATCAGAATTTAATTTTGAGATCAGATTTTCAGCCAATCAAATGGATTTTTAATCATGCCTAAATGACCAATCATAAGAAGTTTCAATTTCATGTGATTAATCAATCACGAAATTAGTTAATAGATCACAGAACCTTTAACTCCTTTAAATCTTATGCCACCAATCACACAAAACACGTCTGTGACAAAGAGAACAGCTACTCGGAAGCCAGTCCCACAAGGCCCTACAACAGAAGACGTAAGAGTTTGGAAAGATGTTTTCGTCCTTTCACACCGTTTTGGCATCCCCAAAATATCAGAAAAAATAAGAAACTTATATACTTGGCTATAATTAGCCAGAAAAATACTTCGAAAAATGTAGAACCAAATTTTTAATGGGTCATACGAAAACCGTTCGAACTGTGGCCTGGAACTGCGACGGAAGAAAGCTTGCCAGTGGATCTGTCGATAAGACCGTACGTCTTTGGGAAGCCGATCAGGTAATTAAATTATTTTGACGCACATACAAAATGATTTTTGTTTCACGTATTGTATATGTTGTGACTCAGAAATTCTTGTTAAACTCTTTCATGGTTATTCTTTAGGAAGATATAAAATATTCTGTAAAACTACTTGGTCATGACGAAAGTGTCGATCAATTGTGCTGGAATCCGAAATCTCCATACGAATTAGCCACTGCGTCTACTGATAAAACCGTTAGATTTTGGGATACGAGAGGTTAGTCAATTCGATCGTATTATTATCTATTATCGTCTATTGAGATTATACATCAATTAAATTTTTCGTTATTGTTTTATAGACGCCAAAAGGTGTACACATATCGTTTCAACTGATGGTGAAAATATAAATATTAGTTGGAGTTGGAATGGTGAAATGGTTGCCGTGGGTGATAAGGTTTGTCGCGAAATCACACTAAATATGTTTGCTATATTGTCGCTTTAGGCTTGTTGTTTAAAAGTGAATGTCTAAATTTATTAAGATTTATTAATAGGACGATAAGATATCATTTATTGATCCAAGAAAATCACCTGAACCAGCTATCGTAAATACATATGCGGAGATTGATGATATCAGAGACGAGGTAGTGGGTTCGCCATATAAATCTATCAGAAATTGTATTGATAACATGTTTAAAAATCTCATTATTCAATAATTCAATAGATCAATGAAATAAGCTGGAATCATGATTGTTCAATGTTCTTTTTAACAACTGGTTCTGGCGCAATTAAGATACTTGAATGGCCATCTTTAGATCCCGTACAAGTTTTAAGGGGTCATACTGCTAATTGTTATTGCATAGATTTTGATCCTAAGCAACGGTAGGAACGAGTTTTTTTTTTTCCAAAAAAAAAAAAAATTAAATGAGATGTGCATTCCATTTTTCGTTTTTACAGATATGTTGCGGCAGGTGGTGCAGATGCCACCGTGACTTTATGGGACATACAAAACGGGGTTTGTCTAAGAACATTTAAAGAACTACAGTGAGTGATTTATTACATTTTATGATCTCAAACAATATCTTATTAATTGAATCGTTTTGGGATAATTTAATTTGATCTTGTAGATATCCCGTAAGAACCATAAGTTTTACACATGATGGTGTTTATCTAGCAGCCGCTTCTGAAGATGAACATATCATCGTGGTATGTATTTCTTATTCAAACATTTATCCTATTTTCTATAATAATATATATATATAATCATTTTGTAACTTGTTAGTCAAATGTACAGTCTGGTAAGACGGTATTTAAAATCAAGACTAAGGCTGCTACTAATTCTGTCGCTTGGCATCCGAAGGGATATCTGTTAGCATTCGCGGGTGATGAAGAAACACCCATTGAGAAGCAATATGTCGGGTTGAAAGTATTTGGGTTCAACGATTAACATATTTTTTTTCTTTTATGAGTACCTAATATATGTGAATCATTAATGTGCATAATGTTCTCTTTTTCTTTTATAAGCACCTAATATATGTGAATCATTAATGTGCATAATATTCTATTTATTTTTAACGTCTCTAATAAACGCTGTCAATGAATATAATAAAAAAAAAGATTATGCCCAATGAATATTTGTAAACAAAAATTGATTGTGTTAGGAATCTTTATTATATAGGATAAATATAATACGTCCTTTTATTCGTAGCATTTTTGTTATTAAAAAGGTGAGCTTAATGGCTGCTAGATGCCTTTTTAGAAACATCAGTGACCGTAAGACCTACAACCGCAAAACAATCAATAAGCATATTAATTAAGCATCAAGCATTAGTGGGAAACAATAAATCATAAATACCGGGTGGAAGTGACTTGTGAAGCTTTTCGGCCTTGTCTGCATCATCGATTACAAAGGTATAAAGGTACCTAGAACATCGAAGCTTAAATTTCACTTTTGATGTACCGCTCTTCTTCTTAATACGAACAGCTACATTAAAAAATTCAGTTAATATTTACAAGATTTAGCAGAAAAAAAATGAAAAAGAATTTTAAAATTTATTAATTACATTTGGCATCTTTTCTACGAGCGATTTCGAGAAAATATTTAATATCACTGATCTGTTTCGGCTATAGTATAAAAATCAACGGAAAAATTTTTTTTCCTTATTTTAGTATTACTATCCAATGTTTCGAATTTCTAACTCATCTTTAGACCTAATATCATCAAAAGAGTATCTATACTACAATCTAAATATCGTCTATCCTTGACAATGAAACTATTAAAAATGGATGGCTCACCATCGTGTTCGTAGAATGCCAATTTGTACGAAGGAAGAATCCTGTTTAATGATTTTTTATCTATATAATAATTTGAAATGTAACACCATCTTGTGTAATCAGGTTCTCGTTTACGATTGGTCATTGTATATTAACATGCGGACTATCAAACTATGAAATTAATACTGGCCAAACTTTTGTAATGCCCAACACTTCATGAAATCTAAATCTAATTACGGAAACTTACGTAAATGGTAAATGCTATCGCTATGTATTTTTAATTCACCACCTAGCGCTAGGTTATACGTATGATATTAGCAATAATTCGCTTTGCTCCGAATATTCATACTGAAAAAAATTGTTGAATTTTATACGTTGTAATTTTTATAATATAACCCCTACCGTTATTTAAAATACTCATGTCTGTTCATATTTGAAAGATATTGGTCTTAGCGTTAGAAATAAAATCACGTAATTCCGCCGCTATGTACGTACATCGGCATGCCTATTGAGGAAAAATGATCAATTACTATGTCAAACGGCTATCGTTACATAAATATGTGCCTTAAAAGTTATAGAGTCGAACATTTGCGTTATTGCATCATCCCATGTTCATACAAGTTCGTTATTATACCAAATAAATTAAAATATGAATCAAAGCCGAAAAAAACTTTACAACATTGAAGCTAGAGAGGATGTTTCGAAATATCCAGAAAAAGAATTACCGTTACACAGTTACACATACTATTTTTAGAAAATAAATTACGTTACAAACTTTTAGCGTTAGGCACTTGTTTTTAGGCATACTCTATTCCTTCAAAAAGTAGACTTTATAAATTCTCATCACCAGTTTCCTTTCTTTTGTGGCTTTCCGGCAAACATCGACAGCGGCATACAAGTAGAATAGAGACATCTGCACGTCACTAGCTATTATTCTGTCTTTTACTTGTTTTTCCTCATCCAAATAGGAAAGAATTTTATAGATCACTTTTCACATTATAACAATGGGAGCCTATGTGTCAAGAGCCCTGTCAAAGATCTTTGGCAATAAAGAAATGCGCATCCTGATGTTAGGTCTAGATGCTGCTGGCAAAACAAGTATCCTTTATCATTTTAAGATTCCTAATGCGGCTGTCTAAAAAATATATAATCAAATATTGTAGAAGTTGAATGATTATCTGTCGTAATCCTTAATTCAAAATTAATTTATTTAATAGCTATCTTATATAAATTAAAACTTAATCAATCTGTGACGACGATTCCCACTGTTGGTTTTAATGTTGAAACAGTGACATATAAAAATGTTAAATTCAACGTTTGGGTAAGTTGTCTATCGAAATAATCAAATTATTCATTTAAAATATGTAATGTAATTATGAATTAATCACTTAGGATGTTGGTGGTCAAGATAAAATTCGTCCACTTTGGCGCCATTACTATACAGGTACTCAAGGACTTATATTTGTGATTGATTCACAAGATCGTGACAGAATAGATGAAGCACGTCAGGAATTACATCGAATTATTTCAGACCGTGAAATGAGAGACTGCTTATTATTGGTATTTGCCAATAAACAAGATCTACCAGGCGGTATGTTCGGGGTTTTTTTCCTTTACTACTAATTTATTATTCATTCATTATATACAGTCAACTCTATAATGAACATAATGAACCGATTGTTTTAACAAATTACTCAAATCACTATGCTTTCCAAGAACCTACCATACTTTATATACCGAATTAATATAAGATTCAGATTCATTTGAGGGTCGACTGTATATACATATTTATTATTGAATTCCTACTTTATTCACGCTATTATCGTTTAATAGCAATGTCGCCTGCAGATGTCACAGAAAAACTTAACCTACATCATATGCGCGATCGAGCTTGGTATGTTCATCCCTCTTGCGCTACTACAGGAGAAGGATTATTTGAAGGTCTAAATTGGTTAAGTCAAAACGCGAAGGCTTCAAAATAAAATCTTAACATTCTGTTCGTTTTAAGAAAAAAAAAAGAGGTAAACGGATATGGGCTGGGCCTGTTGGTATATCATGTTCTAAAATTTTTAAGTTGACGATGATGTATGTAATTATACATTGCTAGTGTAGCTTTCATAATGTATTATTAGACAATCTAGATAATTCGGGGGTAAATATTTTCCTGATACGATACTTGTAATCCATAGTTTAGTTTTTTTTTTCCTAAAGAACGAAATCATAAATCGTTTTAACAATTTTCCAATTCATTATTCCGATCTTTTTAACAGTTTGAGAATGTTATTTTTATGTATCGTGCATTTCAGGATAAAAAAAATAGTGCTAAGTAGGGAACTATATTTTTATTTTGATGGTGGTAATTATTATTTTTTTACATTATACTAATATTTATATAAACATTAATTTATATTATATAACAATAATTTGTACCATTTTTTTCACACCGGCAGACACATTTGCTGCCATGAAAATTATTAGCAAATTCGATACTTTGTAAAAGTATAAAATTTTTTTTTTAAATCTGAATTGATACAATCCTAATAATAATATACATTAAGTCATAAGCACTTATAAAAAAAGACCCCCGTTCTACTTATACAATATGCATTTTTTTTATTAAATTATTCGAATTTGCAGAATATATAGCGATTCTAAAAAATTTATCTCACAATAAGAGGCATAAAGATATAGAAATGACTACTCTGAAAGCATTATATCAAACGGACATCATGCTGACTAAATTGGCCTGTATGATCTTATGTTGGCTAACTTTATTCTTTTGGTGTTGCCATACTTCGGACAGTTCTACCGAAAAACAGTCTCCCGAAAATTAATTGTCGCGTGACGCATATTCAAAGCCCGGGATTAGTAATACGTAATTACAAATCATCAGCGGACTTTGCGACAGTTAATTGAAGAACCTTTCAGACTTTATCTATCGGGCACGGAAAAATCTGCATGCATTTACTAATTCCCCCAAATTTCTATTGGCTGGGATTATTCGCACCAGTTTACATGTCACCTTCTAATTAAAATGTAACATCTAAGTTAGAGTTTAGGGTTAGCGTTAATAAGCAACATTATATTAAAATTTTGCAAGGAATGTTTTTGTTAGTGCCCAAAAGGTGATTTCTTAGGCAAAATGTTTATCTTCACGTTACACCTGATCTTGCATTCTAATTGGCCAGAATCAGGAACTTGGGGAAATTAGTAAACGCAAGCTGCATATACGTGCGTCGCGCTTAAACGTCGCGCAAACAAAAAATCTGTGCCGGTGTTACTATCGTCATGTGAAAAATTTTCTGCGCCCCTGCCATACGTAGATCACGCGTTGTAAACCGTTAGCCGTACTACTTAAGGGTAGGGTGAACATAGATCATTTGTGATATGATCTCACGTGCTAAAAATTTTTTATACAAAAATTGAGTATATGCTTTTAGTAAAAGTTTTTAAAGCTGCAACTAAACTTTATTAAATCTTAATATATATATAGATTAAAACCTTTTCTTTATAATAATAAAAGTTTTGGTCCTTATATTATTTAAAAAAAATCCACCTTTATATATTGTTAAATTCTTCTAGATTGATTGAAATTTGTTTAGGTAATACAAAAATTAATTATTCTTATTGGTCAGAATTCTATTGTTTACAGTTTTGATTGGTCAAATCAATGTAAATCATATAATATCATATGATTTGCAATGTGATTACTTTTAAAAAATAATCTATATTTACTTTACTCTTAATTTTTTTTTTTTTTCTTCTTAATTTAGTAATACTTTATTGGATTATCCATTTCCTATTTTGTATTCTATATACATATCCCATTTCTATTACTATATTTATTCTCTATATATAGCTTATAAATATGAAGTTATTTGCTATTAAAGTTATTAGCAAAGTTGAATTTTTTTTTTAAAATTGTTTTTACAGTATTGTTATAGAACAGTTTATTATTTTATTAGTTATTATTCCGATATTGTATCTTATTATTTATTTTATTATTAT